ACTATTTATGATCAGACTAATAAAGAGTTGACTCAATGTTTCATGATAGGAAGTTGTCACATTCATGTACATCTATGAATTAAACTGTGTCTGTGGGAAAAGCTGTGTTGAGTGTACAATCAAACCTTTTACTCACTAATTGGTTGCATTTGGTGAACGTCTCACTTCTAGGTTTTCAGTGGTGGTACTAACGTCGGTCGATTCATGATCTCAAGTAAAATTCAACAAATCTCAACAATCCTATACTGATAATTACACAATTAATTCATACTTTTCACTTATTCCATTTAACTGTGTAATCTATTCCATTGTTATCATTGACACATAAACCGTTTTAATTGCTTTAATATTTTCATATATTTATTAAGATACTACTGAATATTACATGAAAGGCTTCATAAATTGAGTATACCTAGTCTTGGAAATTTGAAGAGATTTTTCAGTTCATACTGTATAACACTGACTGTGATATACAATATACTAAGACATCTTTTGTTAACAATCATATGATTACTAGTGTATCATTTCAAGAAGAAGTTCTTGGACTTTTAATGCGAAATAGTGACCATTTGAATTTAAACATGTAAAGTATTTAATTAATATAGCTAATTGTAGTAGATAGTTGTTGCACACTGACGTTCATTGATTACATTTAGAAATGTAAACTATTACATAGGGGATCACTGGTAGGTAGGTAGGTAGATTCAATGTTCACTGGGAAACCTTCATATCCTGTCTCACTATAGTGCTGAGAAATCCTAATAATAAACTAAACACTTTACACAAATGTTAATCAGGATTAATAAAGAAAATACTGATATTTGATTTAATTATTAAAAGCAAAATACTTTCTAATCATTAGTTTAAACCTAATCCAATGACTGATTTTCATGAATACACATACATAATGGAACTCTAATGACTTTCAGATTTCTGGTATGAATATATTACACTGTGAACTACCAAATCAATGTTAATTGGTACTTTGATACATGTTAGTGTTTGATTCTAACTATGATCTCCTCATACTACTGCTTAATACTACTGACTAGTATCAATACACTTAAAATATTAGAATAAACACATCTGAAACGCATTTTTTTATATTGAAATAATGAACCGGTTGATGTTAGACCACCGTTGTAAACCTGGGAGCACTGGAAAGCCGTTTCGTCCTATTATGGGACTCCTCAGAAATGCAAACCCACGATCCCATTCGCGGGACTCGAACCCAGGGCCTTCGGTCTCGCATACGAACGCTTTATCTCTAGACCATTGACCCGGCATCCAACGGTGTTAATGGGTTTGAATCTCGCGAGGCGGGATCATGGGTACACATTGTTAAGGAGTCCCACAATAGGACGAAACGGACGTCCAGTGCTTCCAGGTTTCCAATAGTGGTTTAATATCAATCGGTTCATGATCTGAATCAAAAACATAAGAATCTCCACAACCCCTTACTGATTTATTTTTCTGTTTAAAAGTCGATAAAATATCAATCACACGATTATATCAATTAATTAGTGATTGATAGTAGTAGTATGTTCTGTACTCGCTTCGGCCGTATATATACTAAATGAAGTTGGATTAGTAGTATATTCTGTAAACAATTAGAAACTGACAAATAGTTGGGAAAAGAACATGATCGAACTATGCACTTGCATTATCACATCCAAATACTATTGAAAACTCTTTAAATACAGATAATATCTGGATGATGATGATTATTAATGGTTTTATACAATATTATATTTCGGTACAAAATAGAATTCCCAGCACGAGGTAATTCAACAAGTTTCTTCTACAGGAACCAAAAAGAACGATGGAAAAAATTCAAAAAAGACCTGAGTTTGTACAACGTTTCAAATTAGAGACATTTTTGAGAATACAAGTTATTGACTAGGTTAACTCTCACAACTTGTTTGTCACAGAGTATATTTGCTAGGTAAGGTATTGTAGAACTTCTATACTTTTGCTTGTGTGCATGGATTTTAATGTAATTACGTCTCGTTCTACCAGAAGATATACAAGGAGAACGATATAAGTGAAGGGAATGGTTGGTATCTGATAAGATGACACCTGTCAGGAGTTTGCAAGACTTTAGATGCCTATCCACAACCATATTAATAATGACCTCAAAAGATTCATCACACACTCTGCTAACTGCTTTCAGCATTCTCCACAATACAGCAAAGTGTTTTCTCAAAAGTCTGGGAGAGGATAATGGAGAACAGTAAAGGATAGTGGTTAATATGCAAGAATCGACAAACTGTAAGAGTAAATGTCGAGTAATCCTAAAAGCATATAGTCTCTTTATGTAGTAAGTCAGAAGGAAAACTTTCTTCGATAACAGTAAACACATGAAAAGACCAAGAGAGATCAGAGAAAAAGTTAGCATTGAGACAATTGACCGTCGACACTGTGTTTATCAAAGAGTCTCCAATGGCACAATCATGATGGGATCCTAACATGGTGTTTAGGTGCTGTTTATGTCTCTGAAGTGTTGACCATGAACAACATTAGGTTACTAAAATTTAAAAATGTATTATATTACATTGTTTTTACTGACAGAAATGAACTTTATTGATCAAGTTAATGGTATGATAATCACCAACCATTTCTGATTTTCATGTTTACCATCACAAATTTTTCCTTAAAGTATCTATAAAATTAAAGAAACACAAAAGAACCCTGTGATATTGGAATATGAGTTATTCAATATAATTAAGATCACGAGTCCATTGAAGCTAGACCACCATTGTAAACCTGCGAGAACTGGACAGCCCTTTCTTCCTATTGTGGGACTCCTCAACAGTGCACATTTACAATCCAACCTCGCGAGATTCAAACTCAGGATCTGCCGGTCTTGCTTGCGAACGCTTAATCTGACCTCTAAACGAAAGGAATTCATAAGGCTACTGAAATTAAGTTTTTTTGTTAATTGTCACTCGTCAATAAGTTACGAGGAGAATAGTACTTCTCAATGTAATTTAGATCTGTGTTATCAAGTATCTCATTATGAGACTTTATCACATGGTTATTTAGATCGTTATTCATTTCCTGTAGGATTGAAATATATGAACTAACTGATCACTATGTGGCAACCGATACTATGTATTTTACAGTTAGCAGTGTGGTTATTATTCTAAGTAACTCATCATTATGTGTAGAGGAAATCATTTGTAGCCAGAATAATTTAACAATGCTATAATTGGCTATGTAACTAGATGAAACGGGTTGGAATTTCACAAGTAATGTCAGTTATTTAACTATTACGTTAATACCGTATTGATAAGTTCCAATCGAGACAAACACTAGATCAAGTAGGGTCTGAGTTATTGAAATTCATTTATACTAGTGGGGACATTGTAACATAATTGATAGAATTTTATTAACACTATGGGCAACACGGATAAGCATGACATCAGTTATGACTGTGAGTGATCAATCATTGTAAACGATGAAATTCATTTAAAAACTAATCTACTCTATCAGTTTCTACGAAAATATTATTCAGAGGGACAAATAACTTTAAAGGGATTCCTGTAACTGGGGCATAAGAGATATATTCATAATTTTTTGAAATAAGGGTGGTAACCACACTAATTAATAGTCTCAATAGTTAATAAGAAACTAACAAGTGTCGAAACTATTCCTGTAGTTCTTCTAGGATTAGTGTTGTTCTAAAGCCCGGGTAAAGGTGGGTTTGGCATGGGATTAACTACTCCATCCGTAGAAAACAACTTTGCTAAGGAAACACTAACCTGAATAAACAACAGGTGTCGATACTCTAGGATTTATTATACCCAAAGGTTGTAGCGTAATGAGAGTGATTTGATCATATTATAACTAGTCGATGATTGGTAGTCAAGGCCACATTGTTAATCAATCAATTTGTAGCGTGATTACTAAGTGGCCTCATTTGGTGTGAAGGGGATCTTGTGAAAACACTAGACCTAATTTCATTTGTAGTTAGTACTTACTTATAAGGTCTGTTTTTAATCTTGAAGGAACTGATATGTCCTACTGATCCAGAACTTTTGTTGCTCAGTGTTATAGTCAATAAGTTTGTCAGTACTGCAATTGATTTATTATGAAACTGAAAAATTTACAATAATAATCAGTCATTGAATGGTGTTTATACTTTCAAATCCATAATGCTGATGGATTTCTCAAACAAATGGTGAACTAATTCTAAAAAAAGTTTCCATTACAGTTCTAAACGATATATGTTCCAATACCTGGAGTCGTTATCACTGATTTCTGACAAACCTTGCAGATGAATGACATTTTTTAAAGAAATCTAAATACAAGATTTTATATCTGTTATCTCCAACCATTTGATAAATATCTTTTTTAAGTTTATCCAATGGGATTAACATGAATCAGAGGTCTACTGAAGAATGTTTTACCAATTAATCTTATAGACTACTGCTCAATACATAAGAATCTCACTTACTTACTTACGCCTGTTACTTCTCGTGGAGGAGCATAAGTCAACCACCAGCATTCTCCATCCAACCCTATCCCAAACAATCCTTCCCAGCTCTTTACAATTGTTATTCATTCTTTTCATACATGCTTCTATTTCCCGACGTAATGTGTTCTTTGGCCTTCCTCTTTTTCACTTCTTTTCACGATTCCATGTTAGGACTTGTCTCATGATGCGGTTTGGTGATTTGCCTAATGTATGTGCTATCGATTCCCATCGTCTTTTCCTAATTTCCTCTTCAGCTGGAAGCTTGTTTGTTCTCTCCCACAGTAGTCTGTTGTTGATGGTATCCGATCTTTTCAAAACATGAGTCTAGAATATTAAGTAGGTTCTGTAAGTGACTAGATGTTTGGATTAGCACTTCAACTGATTGTTAGGAACTTGAAGTCTTTTTACTTGTTTTAAGGGAAGTTGACTATGTATGAATGTATCTTACACTTGGTGCTAATCCTTAAGTTCACAGTAACTTGTTATATCCTTTTCTATGTTGTTTTTCTTGTCATTACAGCTGTTCAACAAGGTCGTTTGTCTACATTTCCATTATTATATCATTCATATTTTGGTTTATCTAATTTTCTTACTACCAATTCATTGACACCAATTCATCATCATATGATAGGATCAAATATTACGCAATTAATCAATATGTTATTAGTTGCTGAGCATCATTCATATCAATATTTAAATAATGAACAATTTATGTATTATCTTAATTTTGTTTTAAACAAATCGAAAACAATAACAGAATTACACAAATGTAATCCACACATTAAATCTTTTGATATGTTTAACTTAACTACTTATAACGATATAAGTAGCAATAATGATAGTAATAATAATAATCATTCATTAATAGATTCATCTTCAATTACTTCAACAATTAAAGCTGTTGGAAAATCTTTATCAAGAGAAGAACAATCATTCATGACCAATATGAAATGTAATCAAAAATCAACAATATTAAATGAGATAACTAATTCTACAATGAATTATTTATTAGTTATGATTGAATGGGCAAAGAATATAAGTTTGTTTACTGATTTACAAGTAAGTACTATATTAAGAACAGTTTATTTTGTATATTTTTAATGGTTAAATTAAATGAATTGGTAAAATAATGAAGTACAGTTCAGAGAACAGTAACTAGGCTGATACTCGGAATAGCGAAGCTCCTGTATGATGCTGAACTGGCTAAGATAAACTTATTCCTATTGTCACATATCGACGAATTGGAGGTGATTTGATTACAGTTTTCAAATTACTTGGTGATAAATTTGCACCTGATATACCCTCAATTTTCTTGTCACCCAGAACAGAGTATTTAAGAGGACACTCCCGTAAAAAGGTTCAAAAGCTTAGAACAAATTACTTGTTAGCTGATTATTGACTTTCCTATTGAATCATCAATGAGTGGAATTCATAACCTCAGCACGTGGTTGAAGCTCCATCTGTCAACTTTTTCAAAAGAAAGTTGGATCAACTGATAAACCATCATTTCCAGGACTAACATAGTCCATCAAGCTTCCTGTTCTTTCTAAACTGAAACTGATTAAATAATACTTTTGTTTTTCATACTTATTTAATGTAGTTGTAAAGATTTCTGTACAATTTCAAGATTATTTAGACTATTGAATTACATCGATCGAAAGAAACACGCAATAAAATTAAGGAAATTTGGCGAAATATTTCCAATTCATCATATTTAGATTTTGACTTGTAATGGGATGAAAAGCTGAAAGTTCCGTCCTAATTTGGACTAACCTAAATCCCAGTTTTAATATTTAGATTAATACTTGGGCTTAATATAAATTTCAAATTATTATCTACTGAACTTGTAACTATATGACTATACAGTAGGCTTTCGTCAACAAGATGTACCTGTACTCTTGAGGGAACTGATTTTCCCTGACTTGGTACACGCAATGTCGAGTCACCAAGACTAGTGGCCATATTGCAACTTGGTCGATAAGATCCGATCTTCACTAAGAAGGACCTGACACACATGACATCAATCACCACCTAGCGATCAGTCAATTGTAAATACATCTCAGTCCAACAGGAGGTCGATCGCGGCCCGGACAGCCCAGTGGAAACGTCTCTGACTGGATAGATGGGTGGCACGTGATCGAATCCGTCAGGGAACATCGGTTCCCTTAAGAGTACTGGTACATCTTGTTGACGAGTGCCAAGTAACATGAAACCTAGGCCTGAGGTTTCCTGTCGACTACCTCCAACCACCATCTTATAATTCCTATATAGTTATTAAAGTTTATACATTCTTCTTCGTACATCGTTATCTTAGAAGCGGTTTACTTTAAGTATTTAATGTAAATTTAAAATATGTTATTAATTAAATCCAACTTGGGTTCATATTTTAACTGGGCAGTTAAATATGCTACAAATTTCCTTTACTATAATAGTAACCTTATGATGTCTATTGATAGAAATCTTGAGGTTCAATAATACACAAACCTTTAGGTTCAACACATATTTACTTATTATTTTACTCTTTAGGGAAAGAGTTGAAAAAAATATTCAAACAAATGTGTTTTTAATCCCTTTATATCCGTTTCATAACTCAGCGACTGCCTATAATCAGTAGCTAAGTGAATAATGCGATGACGTTTGAAGCGAACAGTTCTGGGTTCGAGTCCCGGAATGAATAACAACAGCTGACGAATCGTAAACAGAACGAAACACACAAACTAGATTCCACTACTAGCCACCATCTATCTTTGCATTAAAATGTGTTATAATTCTTCCCATTCATTACATTGATAGATAACTTAATATATAGGCATCTAATCGAAGGAATATTCACCACAAAAAAAATAACTGACAAACCTTTGGGAAAATAAATGAAACAGTAGAATTATTATTAATGACCTTTTGTTATGTAACAGGCCAATAAAGTCAGAGATTAATTAGGCCATTCATCTTTTTACTCTTTATACAATTGATTTAATTTAATTAGAGTAATGTGTGATTAAACAAACATACAAGGGATCGAATAGTTTCATAGTATTTGGTCACCGAAGGGAGTATATAAAATGAACAAAATGGTGGTGGTGGTGGTGGGGTAAAAATAGACATAAAGAATATGATCATATGAAACATACACACATACACAGAAATTTACATAATACTAAATGTAATGATTGTATCAATTATAGTTACTAACATGGAATAAGAATAATCAACTCGAAATGTGTATGAGATAATTGTTGCCTAAAGCAAAAAAAAATTTTTTTGCCTAGAATAATTCATGCTGAGAGTGTAAATTTTTATTTTCCGCCTTGTGTATTTCCGTGATGTTTTGTTGTTGTTGTTGTCGTGGTTGTTGTGGCTGTTGTTGTGGTTGTGGTTGATGGATTAAACACTGTTGTAAGATACATCATATTAACATGAGAAAATTTCTTGTTGTACAAAAAATTGGTGTAAGTAAAGGCGTTAGATGTTGAGATATGGGGAAAAAAACAACAACATAACAACACAGTTTTCTTTCAAATTTATTTATGGTAAAATAAATTATTAAATTATTGGATATAAATTGGCCTTAATATTAAGTATTAATGGAAGATAATACTGATTTATTATCAGAAGGGGTTTGTGGAGATTTTAAAAATTTCACAGATTGAAATCATGAGTCCATTGGAGCTAAACCACCATGGGAAACCTGGAAGCACTGCACGGCCGTTCCGTGCTAGTATGGGACTCCTCATCAGTGCGCATCCACGATCCCGCACCCCGCGAGATTCAAACCCAGGACCTATAAACCTCGCGCCAAGCGCTTAACCAACTAGACCACTTAGCCGGCATCCAGTGGTGTCAATGTCTAACTTCAACCGAATAACGATTTATGAATAATGTTGTCGTTTAAATCTATTAAGTATTGTTGTTTACTTGGATCTTCCCATGGATGTTTAGCACTGCAATTGATCAGTCTCTTATTGGTATATTTTCATTCTGTGTGTATTGCCTCGATATTGCCTTAACTCACAAGCATTGTAAGCAAAGATGGATAGTGGCTAGCATTAGAATCCAGGACGCGCGACACTTCGTCTTATTTGGGAACCGTCAGTTGGATGTACCTACATCTCAGAGTGGATGTTCACTCCGGGACTAAAACCTAGTACCATTCTCTTTAAACGCCATCGCGTTATCCATTAAGCTACTGAATCGTGATAGCCATTTGTTTATACAATCGGGTGAATTTAAATTCACTTGGTATTGTTTACTTTAATCTTCCCACTGATATTTAGCACTGCAATTGATTAGTCTCTTATTGACATATGTGAATCCTGTGTGAATTGCCTCGATATTGTCTTAATTCAAAAGCCTTAAGATATAAGCAAATAATACCAAGCGAATTTAAACTTCACCCAATCGCACATACAGATGGCTATCAGGATTCAGTATCTAAGTGGATAACACGATGGCATTTGAAGTGAACGTTACTGATCATCAACCCTAAACTGAAGGTACATCCGACTGACGAATCCCAAATAGGTCGAAGTGGCACGTGTGGTGGATTCAACTGCTAGCCACTATCCATCTTTGATTATGATGTTGTCGTTTGTTTCGATGATTGTTGATGGTAGAAGGTAGATGTTAAAACAATAAAACCATGTTGATTACATGGATAAAGTCTGATTGTATCTGGATGATAGAGAGACAGCTGATTATATTGATTAATATTGTCAGTTCTGATGAAATGTGGGTTTGTTGATTAATAGTACCAATTATTAATATACCTGTAAATCACTAACGTAGATGATCTATGTTGAATGATTGGGGGCCTACTGGAGTTAGACGGGAATGGTATGACCAACAGCTCTTGTCGAAATCACACTACGAAATCAGCACCTAACTTGGACTACCCCTTCGTCATGTCAAGGTACTATAGATACTTTGAAGACAGTACAACATAAGGGACGTTATGATGGAAATATATTAGTACAGAGAAGATAGTGAGACCACCACAACACGGGCCAGTCCATAGCATAAGACTAGCCGATACGCGTTGGTTGTCCTTGACTTTGACATGGATTGATGATTTGTTCAACATTCAGTGACCCGACTGCTGGATCATTTTGGTAGGGCTCAGTAACATTTCACTGGTCCTACAAACTATTCAGAAATTGTACTATTATCAGTCATTTTAAGCTTAAAACATGCTATAGCTTTTCTGGATGAATATCAACTAAATCAAACTTTTACAATTGACTGAATAGTGATAAATCTAATGCTTATCAAATTTCTTTAGTTATGATCGAGTTTTATTGTTCGGGTTATGGTGTAGCTGTTAGTTTTAGTAGTAACTCATCGACAAGTCATACCTATAATATTCAGGGAACTGAGGCTTCATTTACAAATTAAGTATCTGTAATTCAACTTCCTAATTTGAGATGTCATTAGAAATCAGTCGCTAGCTGAATATTTCAATAGTGAAGTTTTATGAAATGAACCTTGATGATGAGGATTTCAAATATACAGAGAGCATCAATTCTCTGAACACTGAAAATATGCATTATTGTTAATTATCAGGAAACTTATGTCTCGAGTTTCTTATCGACTACTTTCAACTATCTAACAACATAAAACCTAGTTGAATCAGAGTTTTTTGACAACAGCCTTTGAATGCAATTAAATCTAGGAAGTTATTCATTACTGTTTTGTTTTAAATCAATCTGTTTTCATCAATGTTTAAATCTAACTCTTGAATTAATTATGGTGTACTGACATTCAGTAAAAGGATTTCCTATAAATTAGAAAACTGAACTTCTAACTAATACGTTAGACAATCGAAACAATTGCCATACATTTTAATATAGAAAGTTGTATAATAACACTAGACTTGAGATGGTGTAGAAGATTTGTAGCTCAGGTGAATGGTTTTCGTGGAATTTTGTTTTCTAAACTGGATAATTTGATCGTGGAGTTTTCATCGTTCTTCTGAACGACATCATCAACACAAATTTCAAGTAGAAGTGAAGTATTCGAATTTCTTCAGATGTAGTTCACAATTTGTCCTGTAGATCTCGATGTCGATTGGTTCTAGTTTGTGCTGATGATGTCGTTCAAAAGAACAATAAAAGCTTTGCGACAAAACCATCCAGTCAAGAGAACAAAACTCCATCAATTACACTAGACTTTATACAAATAATCATATGCTTCAGAGACAACTATCAGTATAGGGTTGTGAAGATTATTAATTTATTGATTGAGATCTTGAACCGATTGATGTTAGACCACCACTGAAATCCTGGGAGCACTAGAAGGCCGTTCCGTCCCACCATGCGACTCCTCAGCAGTGCACATCCACTATCCCACCTCGTAGAATTCAAGCCCAAGGTCTTCAGTCTCGCGCGCGAACGCTTAACTTAATTAACCACTGAGCCGGCCGGCATCCAACGGTGTTAATGTCTAACCTCAACCATTGATGATCTAACATTAATCTGTTCAAGATCTCAATCAGAGACACGTAACATAAAACTATAATTGTCAAATAAGCCAATTAATAAATTGCTCAATATAATTTATTAACTTCCATTATAATTTACTATTGAATTTTATATTGATTTTAGCCAAGTGATCAATTGATTTTATTGAATAATTCGTGGCCAGAATTATTTATGCTCTATTTGGCTCAAATTTATAATAATTCGCTGATTACGTCATCATTCAATTACAATAATAATAATAATAATAATAATAATAATAATAATAATAATAATAATAATAATAATAATCAGTTCATTACATGGAACTTGGGGTATCAATCTAAAAACGGTTCCCCTAGTGATAATCTTTTCAATGGAGAATTGAAAAATTTTATTGATTTGATAAATTCTAAACAAACACAAATGGATGAAAGGGTTCAATTGACTAAAGATCCTTTAAAAGACTCATCTAATTTATTATTATTATTCAATCAACAATATTCAATGGAATTTCAAGATCAATTAGAACGAATACAACAATTGAATTTGGATCAATCTGAATATGTTTGTTTAAAAGCATTAATTTTATTTAACTCTGGTAAGCTTTCTTTTCTTTTTTATATCAAATGGATTGTTTCATTATTTTTACATGATAGTTTTAAGGGGATTCGATTTCTTAAGTCGATATCAGATGAAGACTAACTCAGAATATGAGAACATTATTATATTTCTTTCATTAAGGAATGATGGTAAATCAATTGATGTGGTTGTGAATCTTCATCGACTGAAATGGTTGGATCGCGTGTTACGTATGTCTGAACACTGATTACCACGACGCGCGATGCTTACTAGTTTAGGGGATGGTTGGAAGAAAGTTAGGGGTGGTCAAACCAAAACGTGGTATCAGTGCTTGAAGTCACTAACTTCTAGTCTTAGCCATGTTGGTAGATGCAGATTACTTGGTTGGGGTCTGTGTGACCATCGTAACCAATGGTTGGAGACTCTGAGTGACATGGCTCAGAATCGACCACAATGGCATCGGCGTATACACTCTTTGTCTGCCCTTAAACTATGAGATTAAAATCGCTTTATAACTTTATTTCTACGATCCGATTCCTTCTTTCTGTTTTATATCCTTATATGTAATAGTTCTTTTATATATTACCACTAGTGAATTAAGTATTTCTATGAAATTGGTGTTGATCTTGTTGTGCTAATGAGGTGTTGCAACCTGAAGCGATGCATATATATTGCCTGATCTCATGTTGTAGTTGACTGACTGACTTCATTATTCGTTTCGAAATTTTCATAAACGAACCTTTAAAACCTTTATGTCTTATAACAAGCATGATACTTTGTGGGAATTCAATGGCATATGTGCTGAAAAATCCACGAATAGGGTAAATTATGTGATTGATACCCCTTTTAGTTTCTAACTGTTCACTAATTGATGTCAATTCATTATGAAAAAAAAAGTTTCCTTAATGTTTGGCTATTTTGTCATAAGCATCATTGTATCTTAATCAAATAGTTTATCTATTCTAAGTTTGTACTGACAAATCTGTTCAGATAGGCAATGATCACTTCACGAATGAATGACCAAATATAGAGAATACGATCTCGACAGAATAATCTTTCTCAAATATAAATGTTTTTCAGTATTTCGAGATACATTATTACAGACCAAGATGTATCCATTTTAACTTCATGTAGCAGTATAATATTGTAGGGAGTGATGAATTAAGATATTTGTAAGTAAAACATATCATATTTCTGGTTAGCGTCTTTTTAGGGAGTTAGTTTGCTACAGGATGAGTTCGCCAAGCCCATGTCCAACCCTCTTGCTTTATTTGAGCTTGAGACAGGCAGTAGCCCCATAGGGGCTCGAGGTACACATAAACATGCTCAAATAATCAGTAATTCCTCAATACGGATTTATCACAAATAGTTTAGAATAGAGTAGGAAATTCAACCGATTAAAATAGAAAACTTAAATGAACAGACAAAAAGTTAAAAGCTTAGAAAATTACTAAACCATTTAATAAATCGAAATATTGATGACACAATAGAAATATGATAAGTTTCAGGTTCAATTCTAATAGAAGGTTCCTACTTCTGACGAGTTCTTATCTAATAATTTTTATTTTACTGTATAGGAGGTTTGCAGAGATTGTTACATTAAAGAAAGAAATTAAGATCGTGATCTGATCTTTTGAATAACAAGAATGACTGGACATTGAGATTGAAAGATGTTTGTGAAATATCGTGAATGGATTCAAGTTAAACAGATAAACTATACAGTATCATCACAGTAGTTTACAGGTTAGACGTTCTCATATAATGCTGTAGGTACTCAGTTCAATCTCTTGTGAGATTATAGATCTGTACTGTTGAAGAGTCAAGTGTAAAGATGAAACAGTTGTCTAGTACTTCGTGGTTTGTATTTCTTCTTTTTTTTGTATTTGATATTATCATTCAATGATCAACCTCGTTGTTTAAAATAATAATAATAATAATAATAATAAAACATGAATTAACTCCAGGGGACTTGGATACATAAGTTATTTTAACATTTTCAATTGTTCTATTTAACTCGTTTTCTTCAACAACAAAAAAAGGCATTGAATAGTTATTGTCTTACCATTGTCTAATTGTTTCTACATGTCTTTTGAACACACACACACACACACACGGACACAGACAGATATAGAGGTGTACATTAACGAATACTGTATTGAGTATTTACCCCACCCCACCCCACCACCACCACCAGTAATGAATTTTATGTAATGAGAGATGAAACCGAAAAAAAAATCTATTCGTCTATTCACATGTGTAAACTATGAATGACGGGAAAAAGTAACCATTTCGACATAAATGTTACTAAATGAAAAAAAGCGTTCTATAACAATTGTCAAGTCTATTTGTTCAAAATAAACGAAAGGAACACATAATATAAAATTGGAATACCTGCCGTTTTTCTAACATCTTGCTAATTAATGCTTTTATTAGGAATATACATTTTTCAGTAGTTACATATATACCCTCTGTAAGGATAAGTATAGAATTGGAAGAGATAAGGGAATAGACAAGGGAATAGAAAAAGTTAGATGTAAAGCGTCAGAAGATAAAAGGTAGATATGTTAACTCATTTATTATGATTATTATTATAGACTAGTAGATTACATAATAAGATCTATGATTGTAATAATTTTGGTTACAAAACTAGACAACATGTGTCTTAGTTACATTCACATTTATCTTTATGTTTGCTTGTTCTTAGCTTTAAGTTCTCACTTGTAAACAATGGCAATGATATAAAACTTGTTTAGATTGGGAAAAAAAAATTAAGACTGGGAAGAAAAAAATAACACAAATACAATTAGCTAATTCTAATAAATTATTATTAGTGTAATGGACAATAGAAATCTCATGAAGGGAATTAATATGAAATTTAATTGACAAATTATATACTACTTACTAAATATTGTGTTTTTATAATAGAGTATAACTGACAGTTGTTAGATTACTTATTTTTGATTGAGATTGTGAACTGATTGATGTTAGACCACCATTGAAAACCTGAAACCACTGGATGGCCATTTCGTCCTATTGTGGGACTTCTCGGAAGTGCTCATCCACGATTCCGCTTGCAAGATTCGAACCCAGGGCCTTCAGTCTCGCGCGAGAACGCTTAACTAGCAGACCATTGAGCCGGCCGACATTCAACGGTGTCTAACCTCAACCATTCCACGAAATTGCGCGTATGAACCCCGCGAACAGGATCGTGGATGTGCACTGCTGGAGAGTCCCGCAATAGGACGAAATGGCCGTCCATTGCTTCCAGCTTTTCAATGTTAGTCTAACATCAATCGGTTCACGATCTCATTCCAAAGCTTAATGATCTCCACAACCCTATACTGAAAATTACTTATTATTAGCTTGTAATTAATAGAAAAAAAGAATTATCACATTGAATATTTCATATTTTGTGATGGGAGTTTCAATACTGATATCGGTTCTTGTGTTAAGCAATGGCAACCAAATATCTTCGACATGAGACATTGTGAGATGGTGGAGAAGATTTGTAGCTCAGGTGGATGATTTTGGTGGTGTTTTGTTCTCTGAGCTGGATGGTTTAGTCGTGGAGCTTTCATCGTTCTTCTGAACGACATCATCAGCACAAACTTCAGATAGAAGTGAAGTGTTCGAATTTCTCCATATGTGTTTCACAGCTTGTTCTGTGCACCTCGATGTTGATTGGTTCTTGTTGACCTTAAATTTATCATTGTTTACTTCTTTGTTTTGGTTGTGTCTCCCATTGGTTTGATTTTTGTTCCTATATTTATGCATGATTTTCCTGATTGGTTGATAAATTGGATTGATTTCAATATGTTTGTTGATTGCTGATTGACCTGAGTGCCAAGCTTCTAAAAATTCTCTGGTGTTTTTGGAGTTTCCTCTGTCTAAGATTTCTACATTTTCCCAATCGAATGAATGTCCGTAGTTATCCACGTGTATTGATATAAGTGAAGAGATATCATGGCGTTTGACTGCTAATTGATGTTCATGTAGGCGTAGGTGGAGGGGGCGTCCGCTTTGTCCGATGTAGTGTTTGTCGCAGTTGGTACAATTTATTTTGTAGATAATGTTTGATTTGTTTTCCTTTGTTATTTCATCTTTTGGTTTGCATAGTATTGATTGTAATGATTTTGTTGGTTTGTGTGCCACACCTATCCCGAAGGTTTTCAGCAGTCTCGTTGTGGTTTCTGATATTCCTTGTATGTACGGTAGGGTGATCCTTTTGTTGATTTTTGTGCTTGATTTGGGTTCTGATGCTGTGTGCCGTTGGTGCTTTTTGATGAAGTTGATTGGGTAGCCATTCTTTTGAAATATGTCCCTCAGGTATTTCTCTTCATTTTTCCGTGCTGCCAGTGTGTTGCAGTGTGTCCTCGCCCTCTTGAACAATGTGTGTACGCAGTTGATTTTGTGAGCTCTTGGGTTGTTGCTGTTGTAATTGAGGATTTGATCTGTATGGGTCGGTTTCCTATATACTTGAGTTTCCAGTTTTCCTGTATCGGTTCTAGTGATCAATATATTCAAGAATGCTATTTGATTGTTTGACTCCTGTTCCATTGTAAACTTGATGTCGTTGAAAACGTTGTTGATCAGTACTTGATGTCGTTGAAAACGTTGTTGATCAGTTACTTGATGTCGTTGAAAACGTTGTTGATTCATTCGATTGGGAAAATGTAGAAATCTTAGACAGAGGAAACTCCAAAAACACCAGAGAATTTTTAGAAGCTTGGCACTCAGGTCAATCAGCAATCAACAAACATATTGAAATCAATCCAATTTATCAACCAATCAGGAAAATCATGCATAAATATAGGAACAAAAATCAAACCAATGGGAGACACAACCAAAACAAAGAAGTAAACAATGATAAATTTAAGGTCAACAAGAACCAATCAACATCGAGGTGCACAGAACAAGCTGTGAAACACATATGGAGAAATTCGAACACTTCACTTCTATCTGAAGTTTGTGCTGATGATGTCGTTCAGAAGAACGATGAAAGCTCCACGACTAAACCATCCAGCTCAGAGAACAAAACACCACCAAAATGAGACATTGTCGATAAGTTAAATTTTTAAGATTAAACATCCTACTAACTTCTTTTTATCATGAGAAAAAATGTGTTTTATATCTGTCTGCAGTAGAATGATGGAAATTAAACAGTCAACCAGTCAGTCAATCCGTTTATAGTGGAGGCCTATTATTTAATAATCATTTAGATCGGGCGATGTATGCTGACAGACTCTCCACTTTAGTGGTCCGTGGATCATACTCCGTTTAGATCGTATGAATGTTTGTTATCGCCTGTCATATCATATTATATATATTTTTTCAAACCATTTTACACAGTGAGTTGTTTGAACTTAGTCGGTAGGAAATCTTGGACCTAGATTTCTTGGTAGTCGATACTCATTAAACTGTGCATGTAATGTCAAAGAAACTATCTCTTTCCGTGGGATTAAGACTGATGTCATTCAGCTTCAAAGTTTGAGACATTAACAATGAACAATTAGGGTAGGCTATTGGTCACTAATCAATAAATTGTAAAAGCATATCAGTTTTACAGGAGGTCAGTAGCGATCCAAGTAATTCAGTGGCAATATTTCAAACAACGAACCTGGATGACACAAATTTGAATTTTACGAAAAGCGTCAGTTCTTTCAATATTACATTTACAACCTAGCAACTAGCAAAAAATCTAGGTACGAAGTTTTCTGTAGACAACCCCCTAACATATCAACATAATGGATATTGAGTTAACTAGAATGGCGGACATATCTCAAATTAATTAATAGAGTTCGATCAACTCTAAGGGACTAAATAATATGACATTGGCCAGTACTCGACGATCAATCACTTTGTATTTTTCCCGATATTTTAATAACACTTAATTTCAGTTGATTTGTGGAATTTATTTTTTCTCTTCAGAAGCTCCTGGTCTCAAAGATCAAAATCTTGTCGATTCTATTCAAGAAAGAATTCAATGTGCATTAGAAGAATATGATAAATATAATTATTCTCATTATCAACCATTTCGATTTGGTCGATTACTTCTACGATTGCCTAAATTAAAACAAACTGTTTCATCACCTGTATCATTACAATGGTTACAACAAAGTTTTTTTCCATCGCTTCATCTAAATAGTCATAAAAGTTTTGAATTATTCATTGAAGAACTCATTGAAAAAGAACTTTATTCAAATAAATCTAGTTTATCATTAAGACATAATCATAATATGTTGAATACTGGAGAATATTCTCATACTTCACATTCATTATTACCATTACCATTTTCTTTGCCATCATTATCATCTTTGTCATCATCACCTTTATCTTCAGAAAAAGTAGAGAACTCTTTTATCCCATTGTTTACTTGTCATACAGATTACCTAAATAAGTTTTCGTCTGGATTATTTCTACCGAAACATTCAATGTCTAAACCCTTTCCTTCTACTACACATATTGACAGTCCTATATACAATCGTGAACATAGAAATAACAATGAATTTCTTGATTTAATTCATAATTCTCCACAAAGAGATTCAACATTGTTTTCAAATTTAATAAAATCTACACCTAAGAATGATCATTGTACGGATAGAATTATCGAAACAATGAATCATGGTAACCAAAATGACGATACTATTTATAGTAGTATAAATAGGATAACAACAGAATCTTCACCATCCTCCTCCTCATTATCCTCATCCTCATCATCTTCATTGAATCCTTCCAAATTAAATTTAAATAATCATCATCATCAAGCTTCAATGGAAAGCTTTAATAGAACAATGAGTTCATTTCCTTTAAACAATATAGAACATATTGAATCTAATCATGAATTCAATCATTTACATAAAGATTATACAGAGTTATTTACTAATGATTTATTCAATTTATTATTAATAAATAAGAAAAATTCTAATTTACAAATTTATTATTCATTATTACGTAAACATTTGAATTCATTACATAATTGTACATCATAGTTACAAACAAACAAACAGATAGACAGACAGACAGACAAACAGGCATACAGACACACAGATAGACAGACAAACAAACTGGTTGTAAATACTTGATGAATTGACTTTAGAATAAATAAAACATACATCCATTGAATTACTATTGTAAATTTTATTTATTTAAACACATAGACATACGTCATACTTCACCATTTGATATGTGTCAGGGTTGGGATACTTCTTGGACGTCTAAAGTGAAGTGGGTAGTTTTCTTAGGGGGGGGGCATACCTGGAGATTTCGACCTATAGGTCTAATCTATAAGACAGCGAAGTAACGTTAAGAGATACAGTCTCAAGGTAACCAGTGATCAATAATAGGTTCATATGCTATTTATTCCTTTAGGATTCTGGAGCTCATGTATACCATTGGTTTGGAAACAGGGTTTTCCAACCCACCTAGGTAAACTCTCCATGTCCACCAACCCGGTTAAAGCGCCAAATATTTGCTTTTCTTCCTCTCAAGTTCGTAGTGAGTAGGACTTCCCTGGTAGAGCCTTGTGAGAGCATTTCGAGAGGGAGAGCTGACTCTCCCCACTCTCGGTTGTACCAGGGCATTTGTGGGCTAATCTGTAAATTGGGCCAGAGACGTTCTAGAAAAATTGTATCCGACAACGATATTACGCGCCATCCGTGTGGAGTATTGGGAGTAGTTTTCAACTCGCAATAACCGCACCTCAGATAAACTTCATGTGCTTCGGTACCGTCACTACGCTTTTGAAGTGAATGGTACTAGGTTCGAGTCCCAGAGTGAACACCACCTCAGATATATGTGCATCCATCTGACGAGTCTCAAATAGAACGAAACGTACTTCCTGGATTTCACTGTTAGTCACTATCCATCTGTTTTCATATATTAAATATTTCATTTGCAAATCCTAAATTAACAGTTTCAAAGTTCGTCGTTCCTTCATTGGTATTACTCACTGTTTACATTCCCTTTCTCTTTAATTCAATCTTCTTCTGATGCCAGACTTTCCACTTCCGATTGGTGCTACATACTACTTACGTTTGTTGACATAAGTAACATACACCACATAATGATCAATGTAGACATAATGATGAATATAAATTTCTGAAAATAGAAAAACTAAAGTGGAAGTCTATATGACTTTACTGGATTACTGAACTGCACTGAGTATAGATGATATCTATAATGGCGGTGTAATGTTAATCAACTATCGTTCTAGATTACAACTTGAAGTAAATAGTTTTGTTTTAAAATAATGTTTTGTCATATCAAGAATTGTCGATCACATTCTTTCTGTTACTAAGTAAATGATCAGATTTCTAGGATGTAACTAAATATCCCATTAAGTTCTTTCAGTGGTTACAACATTTATCATGAAGCTGAAGTTTAGTGGTTGAAAGTTTCAAGTTCAGTCAAATCATCACTATCTAGTGTGATCCTCATTTATTATATTTGATGTGTACCTTCCCTAATATTACAGATTGTGGCTTTCCGGACGATAATACTTTAGGAAGTCCTTCTCGTAGTTAGCCTTAGTGTTCTATTTAACAAGAAGCTTAGAATTTTGTCTCCAGTCTAGACTACGATCATCTGAGTAAACTACCAAGGAGTTACAAAATAGGATACGAGAGCATTTCAATGTCTTGTTTAATATTCGTACTTTTCTAGCTGCAAAATACTTTGGATCCGTTGGCCAGACACAATTAGCAACAACCTACTATGGGAGAGAACAAATCAGATCCCAGCGGAGGAAGAAATCAGGAAGAGGCACTGGAAGTGAATAGGACACACATTGAGGTAAGCATCCAACTGCGTCACAAGGCAAGCCCTCACTTGGAATCCTGAAAGCCAAAAGAAAAGAGGAAAACCAAAGAGCACATTACGCCGAGAAATAGAAACAGACATGAGAAGAATGAACAACAATTGAATAGAACTAGAAAGGAAGGCCCAAGACAGAGTGGGTTGGATAATGCTGGTCAGTGGCCTATGCTCCATTGATAGTAACAGGCGTAAGTAAGTAAGTAAGTACTTTCCTAGCCAACAACAATTCATGATGAAAATTCCTTTCAAAAAGTTTACAGTTAAATTTTATTATTATTCCATTTTATTGCAATAATGTGATCTTCCATCATTCGTACTTTAAAAAAAGGCAATATTCAACTATTCGACTATTATCATCTATTTAATAGTATCATTGATTCATCTCATGTTACCAAGGCTACTTCGATTTGGTCTGATTTTACATGTTTTTCTTTTAGAAAATTTTATTTACTACTGATATCGTATCAATTACCACTTGTTTCCACTTGACCATTTTATCAATTGGTTACAATCTATATTACTGTAAAAATTGTATTTTTCTTAAGTGATTTTAATCCTTAAGTGTACACAGGGACAAACACACACACACACACACGTACTGACATTCATAATGCTTTGTGAATGAGCTTCATTTGTATTCTGTATTCGTTTATTCATTCACTTACTTACAGATGTGTACATATATATATATATATATATATATCAATATACTAGTCAACCTAAAATTTGGGCTTTATTTTCTTCTTACAAATTAACAATCAAATGAATTTACTAAACAGGATTGTTGAATTGTTGTTTTTTAAAAAAAAGTGGTGTAAATCACAGCATGAAACATGGTAACATAGGTTATTAGATAGGTGATAAGATAACAAGTTTAGTATCAGAAGGGGTTTTGTGGAGATTGTGGTAATTTCAACAGTTGAGATCATGAGTCAATTGAAGCTAGACCACCATGGAAAACCTGGAAGCAATGGATGACTGTTTCATCTTAGTATGGGACTCCTCAGCAGTGCGCATCCACGACCCCGCCTCGCGGGATTCGAACTCAGGACCTATCACTCTCGCGCGTGGATGCTTAACCACTAGATGGTGTTAATGTCTAACTTCGACCAATCTACGAAATTGCGCCACCGTTCACCATTGTCTTCAGTGAGTTACTATTTCACAACACACCCGGTTGAACTCCACTATTCACTGCTTTCCACTAGAATTTCAGGATATACCTCTTGAAGCCAGTCACTAGTGAGCATATATTTAATAATATCAGAAGCGGTTTTGTGGATATTATAGTTCAACCGGATTTGTTATGAAATAGTAACTCACTTAAGACAATGGTGTACGGTGGCGCAATTTCGTGGACTGGTTGAAGTTAGACATTAACACTGTTGGATATCGACCCAGTGATTTAGAGATTAAGCGTTCGCGCCTGAGAGTGATAGGTCGTCAGTTCGAATCTCACGAGGTGGGATCGTGAATGCGCCCTACTGAGGAGTCCCATACTAAGATGAAACGGTCATCCAGTGCTTTTAGGTTTCCCATGGTGATCTAACTTCAATTGATTCACGATCTCAACTATTAAAAATTACTATAATATCCACAAAAAATACCTTCTTATATTAATATTATTTATCATTATTATCATCATCATTGATAAAGTTACATTACATCTATGATGTTTAGTTAACAGTTCGTCTTTTTTTTCATTTATCTTCCTGGAAAGAAACATTATCGCGCTTATATACAACATAAATAACGGTGAATAGGCGTCAAACAGTTTAATTCGTTTCCAGATTTTTGTTATTAGATCAATGATATAGCATAAATGAAACTAATATACACAACTATTAGATTCATCATTACATGGGATTGTGATGTGTATAAAGATAATAAGTTAAATAAAATTTTATGGGAACAGAGGGGTTGTTTTTAATTCAGAAAACTGAAGTTAAAACATGAAGAGAAAGAAAAAGAAAACCCTTGCAAACAATTAGATAAGTGGATGAAATTTCAATGATGCAAATGTTAACACCATCATTAAGAAACTTATATGTATCGTAGAGAATAGATAAGCTAATCATAGTATTGATTGTATTCTCTTAAGTGGGTTTTTAACCCTTTGATCTATTTGCATATATTGTAACATTAACTACTTACTTACGCTTGTTATTCCTTGTGGAGGAGCATAGACCGCTCACTAGCATTCTCCATCCAACCCTGTCCCAAGCAATCCTTTCCAGCTCTTTCCAATTGTTATTCACCCTTTTCATATCTGATTCTATTTCCCGACGTAATGTGTTATTTGAGCTTTCTCTTTCTAGTTTCCCTTCAGAATTCCAAGTTAGGACTTGTCTCGCAATGCAGTTTGGTGATTTCCTCAATGTATGTAGTATCCATTTCTATCGTCTTTTCCTAATTTCCTCCTCAGCTTGAAGCTGGTTTGCTCTCTCCCACAGTAGGCTGTTACTGATGGTATCCGACCAATGGATATTGAGTATCTTGCGTAGACAATTATTTATAAATACTTGTACCTTCTTGATGATGGTTGTAATATTTCTGCAAGTTTCAGGTTGATACAGTAGAACTGTGTTGACGTTCGTATTGAAGATTCTGACTTCATATTGGTTGACAGTTGTTTTGAGTTCCATATTTTCTTCAATTGTAGGAATACGGCCCTTGCTTTACCAATCCTTGCCTTTAAGTCTGCATCTGATCGTCCTTGTTCTTAAATAGTGTGAACTAATCAATATGGCAACATTCCTACGATTAATTTCGATCATGGTTAATTTTTGTCAAGCCATTTTATTAACTTATTTAACAATTCATCTATGTCTTAGTACCATTATGATCGGCGAGACTATAATTTATGAACGAACCAATCAGATATAAGATAACGAGTTTTGCGTTTTGGCGCGAAAGTCATTCATCCATTTGGCTAAGTAGCGTTTTGACATCATAGCTGATGTCAGTTCGTGATGAAAAACTTAAATCTAATTCCTAGCCGTAATCATTAACTGTAAATCATAATTCTAAGTCCTCACACCGGTTTATAACCCTCATTCAGTGTCAGTTACTAGGTGTATGTTTTCAGGTCACTTTAGCATTACTCAAAGGTCGTCTATAAATGATACTCCCACCTCATGATCACTATCTTGTCTGTATAAACGTGCATGTTTGATCACATGTGATAGTCTACGCACATATCTCTCTCTAGCTTAAGTATCACTTGATGAATCAATCTGTCTTTCCTATCTGCGCCTTGATTCGATTTGACTATAAATTCAGCTCTGAAGATGC